GTCCTTTGGTCTCAAAATATAACAAATGACAAAAATCCAGGAGCACTTATATTCAATTTCCTGAACTGCAAACACTGCTCACTAAGTAGGGTAGTGCTACTACTCTAGCTAGGCAAATTAAAGAATGGGAAAGCCTTCTGAGCATGTGTCCTAGGCGTGTCACTATGGTGCAAACATCAGCGTGCACTTAAACTGAGAAGGCAGCAGCTGGCCAGGTGACGTCCTTGTGCATGTGGCCACCACTGGCAGGCTGTCGCTCTGTGCCCGACTGCACTCCTGACCGCTGCCACAGTTCCAGGTTTGGCACTGGAGGTCCCCTACGTGTGTCTAGCGTATCCACACCATTCTCTTTTGTGAGCACTCTCTTTCTTTTGCATCCTAGGAGATGTCCCAAACCTGGAAGCAGCCAGCTCGCAGGTAACTAACCTAAGCTCTTTTCACTGGAGAGTGAAATTAGAAACTAAGACCTGGGTACATCTGTGACTTCTGGGTGCAGACCTACTCTTAGACTGTACCACTGCTGCTCCCTGACCTAAATGCACCAACACATGGTAACTGGGCACATTCTTTTCTTAGGTTGCATAAAAAAGGACAACTGCAAAACTAATTGTTAAGAAATTAACACATGTCCTATATATCAGTCCACATTTAATCAAGATAGGGATCATTTGCAAATTATTTGTCCTTAGATCCATTTTTCATTTATTTATTTATTTTTTTAATTTTAGGGAAGGGTCTACAGGGTCTTCAGGTTCTCACTACTAGATTGGACTTGTAGTGATCCGCCTGTTTACAGCCTCCCAAGAGCTGGGATTGTAGGCACGTGCCACCCGCCCAGTCTCAGTGCACCCTGGGGCAGGGGCAGAGCTGACACGGCAGGTCTGGGGATCAATCCCCGCCCCTGAGCCTGCGTGCAGGTGCTTTAATCCATTGAGGTATTTGGCCGGCCCTTTAGATCCAAATGTTAAAAAGGACACAAAATACTTCAAAAAACTGGTGAAAATACAAGATTTCCGATATTAAATAAAAAAGAAAGGCCAAAATGTTTAAAATGGAAAGGAAAAGTACACAGCGTATTTCTACCAAGGACGTGAATCCATATCCCTAACATGAAGAACCACAAATTTCCAATAAAAGATTAAAATGAAAAGAAATTGGAGAATTTAGGCCCTCCAGATCTACTACATACAACTCTGCAACACATCAGATTAAAGTGGGTTGCTCTGCTACAGAGTGGGAAAGAGAAATCTGCTTTGCTTTTATTATAGAGCTTAAGATAAAAGCATTTGGTTAGTGCAGTGGCAAGAAAAAGCTTTGGCAGTCTTTATCACAGAGTTGAAGGGAAACCTATTCAAGTGACCGCCACACCTGACACAGGCCCTGTCGCAGAGGCACATGCAGAGCATGGAAACAATGCCGACAGGTAAGGCATCCTGCAGGTCTATCCCATAGAAGTGATACTGCGCAAAAGCTCACATTTGTTTCTCTTTTTTTCAAAGGCTGCCAACATTCTTTTTAATCAATTTCTTTAGGTTTAAATAAATAAAACAGGCCATTAAATTATACTCCATAGAAGCCAATGCCCTGATCAACTACAAAATCACCCTGCACCTTGCTTCTTCCTGACTCACGCCTTCCTTTTACATCAATAAATCAGAAGAGGGGACCTTTATCATGATAATAAAACTCTTGTGCTCTTGGGAAAGGAGGGGCAGCGAGGAGCAGCAGCCTTTGGAGGGCGTTAAGGCCACTGGCCGGTACAGAAGATTCAGGGGCAGTGCCCACGCTGCCCATCTGAGACAGAAAGTCCCGCTGGCTGCAGTCAATGCCCTTCTCCTGTCTGCTGCACAGAGCAGAGGTGCAGAGCGCCCAGCTGCTGCCGCTGTGCTGGCCTTTTTCCTTTTGGATTATCTCCTCTTTAAAAACACTTTTAAGTCACAGCAGCACAGTGATGTGCTGGACCCCAAACCCAAACTCCGAGCCATTTCCATCTTGCACATGAAGGAAGAAAACAACACCGCAGCAGCATTTGCCCTCTACCCACACTAGAGCATCCCCACAGGGCCAGGAACACGGCTCTGCGGCACAGCACCTGCCTGGCTAGCGTAGGTCCTGAGTCTGATTTCCTGCCTGGACCAAAAAGAGAAAGCAACCTGCTACCCTGTGAGCTACTTTATAAAGTGTGTTGTGACCCTCAAAGCCACCACCTCACTCCACCCTGCTACGAAATGCCGAAGCCCCTCCTCCATCCCTGCACAACCTGTTCATCAGCAAGCACCACAACACCGGCCTGGTCATCAGGTCACGTATGTGCCCCGCGTGGCTGCCTGCTCTTCCCGCCCAGTCTCGGCCGCTCTGCTCTGCACCACCGGTGCTTCCGCTTCCCCTTGCTGGGGCATTTGCTGCCCTCCTGACTTGAGCACCCTGCAGCAGGGTGGTGCTGAGCCAAGGTCCCTGGGAGAGTGCTTTCTGATGGGAGGAGGACAGGCAGGCCTGTGTGGGAAAGGCTTCCAAGAGCAAAGCCAGAGCCCACGGCTGGGCTCCGTTCCTGCCTGGCCAGCCCTCTGGGTCCCTCACACAGATCACTGGAAATAGCAGGTGGCAGCTCATGCTGAGGAGACACCGCAAAGCTCTGCCTCTCCACTTCCAGGCAATAAACCTCTGAATCAATTTTAACATGGGGAAAAAAACAATACCACAGTAATAATTTTAAGATGTATACTTGGACAGTAACAAAGAATCTCTGAAACCTACCCAAGGATTCCATTAAATGACGAACTAAGATTTAACAACTTAGTCAAAGATGGTCTTCCTAAGAAGCACTTTAAAACAAATTCCCTTCAGACTAAAAAAACTAAATGAAAAATGTCATCTGGCACTATAGCCCTTGTGCTTGAATTGTTTTAAGCTATCTCTCAGTCTTAATAGTGCCCTGCTTTGCACCTGACATGCCCACTACCAATAACACACTGCGGAAGGGCGCATGGCAGGGCTGGCTGCTGCACCCACTGGAAACCCCCTGCTCGGGCTGCCCACGACACTCACCGGGTGATATAGGCCTGCTGGAACTTGGAGAAGGTGTGTAAGGGATGGGGCTAGACACAGTGCGCGGTCTTAATCCTTGTGCAGACATCTCATTGAAATACCTACAAAGAGAGAAGGGGACGATGTTAGCAGAGCCTCTGCCCTGGCACAGGGCTCCAAGCACCTGCATGATGATGTCTGGCGTCCACATCTGAAGCAACAGTCCCGAGTGCTCTGAAAGTGAGGCCCTAGATGGGATTATTTGCAACATGGACTCCTGAGGCCCAGGGCTGCCCGCCTGACGAGTTGCACGCTAGCAGTGGTGGCGAACCCGTGGCACGCGTGCTGCAGTGAGCTGCTTGCATCACTAAAATCTCTACAATGTTCACCAGTGCTGCTCTACAAGGACACGGCGTAAGGGGCCCGGGACATCTTAGCCAGAGTGGAGGCCCCGTCACAGAACTGACGCCGGACCACCAAGGACAAGGCTTTTCTCCCACACACCAACCACAGCAATGCCAAAATCAACTTTGTCTTAAAAATTTCCAAGATCTGTTCTAAGGGCCACACCTGCATTGTGTGGACCTCAAGCCCGAACAAGCCAGCTGAGAGATGTCGTCACAGGAAGTTCACAGGTACAAATGTCCAGGAACTGAATGTTGCGTTTAAGAGGACGCCTTGTTTACTTAACAAACGGGCACACAGCAGACTGTAACACAAGCCTCGGTGCCGAGCACGCTCAATAGGTCACGCTCCGCAGCACTGTGCTGACTGTCATTTATTTCTCGGTCTGAAAGTCACATCGGACCCGAAAATGCTGACGGGTGATTGCCAGGAACATCAGCTTCCACTCTGCCTGCCAAGCAGAGCACCAGTGGAGAGCAATTTCTGCTGGAGAGCCTTCCTGCGGCTGTCCTGCTTGCACCTCATAGTCACACGCCCTGCACCTTGGCCTGAGGAAGCTCTCAGCCCTGGCACCGGAGTGGCTCACATGAGGAACTGTCATGACCACTTCAAGGCAGGGTTATGGAGTTCAACAAATAAGGAGACATGCACCTCAACTGGACATCCGCCACCCCATCTCCCGGCCTTCCTTAGAGCAGCCCACCACTGTGACCTAGATGGACCCTTCTTTGTACTCCACAGCCAAGCAAGCAGCCAAGACCACCTCCAGTGATCTTAAGTAGCAGGCTCTTCTTTCTTCCAAATGGGATACCATCATTTCTAGTACACAGACAGGTACTTAGTAACAACTGTTCCCTGCCTGAGATAACGTAATCTACAAAAGGAAAGTGAACCTTCTAGAGCGAACACCAGCCCCGCAAAGAACAAATGATCTGGACATCTCAAGTAGCGTCCTTACTGTAACACGGCCAGAAGGAACTGTCCCTAGAACAGCGATGGCGAAGCGTTTAGAGCTTTCTGACCACAAGCAGCCCGCCTGTCACAGCTTTGCCATCACTGCCCTAGAGCATAGGTCACCCCACACTGGGCACAGGATGTTGTAAATACTGGCAATCACTGATTTGAGTTTTCAGGACATTAACGCAGTACGGTTGCTAAAATGTAGTTTTGCCAGGTGTGGTGGTGCACGCCCATGCAATGGGGAGCGCGGGCGCCCCGGGACAGAACAGCAGCTGCCGACGCTTTTCAGCGTCGTGCTGTAATCCCAGCACTCAGGAGGATCCTTAGGAGTTTGAGGCCAGTATGAGCTATAGTGAGAGGTCAAGCTCATCGTGAACAGCTTTAGAAAAATAAAATAGAGCCGGCCAAATAGCTCAGCGGATTAAAACCCGGGGTTTCGTGCTGGTGCCGGCCCCGCCCCCAGGGCACGATAAGACAGTGAGAGAGACTGGGCGCAGGGCGGGCCTGTAATCCCAGCACTTGGGAGGCTGTAAACAGGAGGATCATTACGAATCTAGTGATGTAGACCCTTCCCTAAAAACACAAAAAAAAAAAAAAAAAAAAAAAAAAGTATTGTGCTGCTTAGTATTCTAGCTGACATTCCCAGCCAAATGGTTCTCGGAGCATTTAAAAGAGAACAAAAAACTGTCACAAGTAGATCCATGAAATTTACAAAGATGACAGTTTTATGTACTTTTGAAAAAGAAAAACGTTTACTCTTATAATAAAGAAATACTCAGATTTTTACAATAAGACAACCTATTATCCTGTTTTTACAAAAACGCTTCCTCATCTGTAAGCTTCCATTATAAAAATCACATATTGTCCTTGAAACTGTCTGCAGCCAACTCCCAGAAGCGTCGGCAGCTGCTGTTCTATCCCGGGGCGCCCGCGCTCCCCAGTGTCCGACCGCACGTCCGCGTGGGCGTCTGCTGGGCTTAGCCGACACCAGCAGGCCCCGGCTCCGCGCTGGCTGTCCAGCCCGCCACGGCCACGGCCACGTGGGGTGCGGTCTCTGCGAGGCCCCAGCACCCTCGAAGCCGAACAGGCTGTCTCCTTACAGATGACCTCCCTCGGCACAGCACTAATTGCTTCACCGCTGTTTTGTTCTGCTGACTGGACAGTTTTTCCTCCCGGATAAATTTGCTGCTCATCGTAACCATGGCGTTCTCAAGCTCGCAGAAGGAAAAGAGAGGGGACCCGGATGAAGATGCACGCGGTGCCCCGCTCCCTCTGCTGGTTCAACCATGAGCCCCTCCTCGCAGCCACTCACAGGAAGGCAAGGAGAAGTTTCAATACTTAGGCTTGAGCAGGCAAAGGCAACGCGATGGTTTCATTTAAAAAAAAAAAAAAAAAAACAGCTGCAAAAAAGCTCCAAATTATCAAATGCATTAAATCCTTGAGACCTCCACAACCTCCACCTGCTTGCTGTCTCCTGCTGCTTTTTTCAGTCCATGCACACAGCTATCTCCTGGGTCTGCAGAGAGCTTGCTGACCCTTCTATGGAAGTGCAGATGCCTAGCTCTCCCCAGACTCAACACGGGACCAGACACACTGAAGGGGAGCTACACGCCATCTGCTTCTCTCTCCCCCCCAAATAATTTCAGAATGGAACCTTCCCCTTTTCTTTTTCTGTTTAAGTAAAACATCCGATCTTCTGCACATGTCCCGCTTTGAAGAGCTGTTCACGTGGGCCTAGGCACCACCACAGTAAGCGTTTTCTCACAGGAAGAAAGCGCCTCCTGGGGCTGGGGCTTGGCCTTGGCATGCAGGACCCGCGGGGCCTGTACACACCTCTCATCGTCCATTTCCAGGCTGGATTCGCTCTCAGAGAGCTGGCGACAGAGAGCTTCTCTCCGCTCCATCTCCCTCTGCAGCTTCCTCTGCAGCCGCAGGTTCTCTTCCCGCATGTGGCGCTCCTCCTCCAGGTACTGGGCCATTTTCTCAGAATCTGCAAAGCCAGGATGCACAGTCAAAACCATGTTTGGTGAAAAGCAGTAGCCACATCTAAGGGAAGGAGGCGGCAGGGCAGCCCGAAGGAGCATGGCACTGCTGCAAGTGGGTCCTTCTCATTCCCACAAACCAGAGGTCTGAATTTAGAGTTTACCCCAAGTGTCAAAGTTCAGCAATTAATTACATTTAGAAAATAATACGCAGGGGCCAGGGAGATGGCTCAATAGAATAAGTGCTTCCCTGGCAAGCACAAGAGCCTGAGTTCAATCCCTGCTTCCGCCAAAAAAAAAGAAGAAGAAGAAAAGAAAAGAATATGCAAGGCAGCACTGAGAGGTTCAGCAGCTTCACCCCTTCCCTGGTCTTGTACTATGCTTTATGCAGAAGAGGAAATGGTGAAATTACAGCCACGTCTGGATTTAGCGGCTACCAGAGCAACTGTCTCCATTGCTCGAGCCAGGAGAGGTGGTGCCCAGCCGGGGAAGGAGGCTCTGCCTGCAGGCATCCCCGGGTGGCTGCCTCTCCATCCCAGACAGCGTGTGTCACCTTGGGACCTGTTACACACCTCACGCATGATGGTGTTGCCACACTGCAGAGTACTGTACCACACCACACGAGTTAACCGTTAATATTCTTTTCTATAAACACAGAAAATGACCCAGTAAATAAGAAAACCGATTTCAAACCAGCTTCTTTCGTGGTGCATATGACATTACATCCTGATTCACAAGCAGCTCAAGTCAGACGGCAGGTGAGGCAGCAGCTTCCAGGGCATGTCTCCTGTAGGAGGAGCACCACACACAGCCTCCCGGGCTGCCCCATACCCCAGCTCAGCTTCAGCTCCAGTCGCGGGTAGGACAACCAGCCCCTGGGGCTGAGAAGAACCCAGGCTGAGTCTCTCCCACTTCTCTGCCTGGGAGCAGCAGCCTTCATGAGGCCCCCAGAATCTCACTCTTGCCAAGTTCCCGGCCAGGGTGGCGGTGTGCTTCGGGTCCTCCCAAAACGAGTCCCCTCCAGGGGGTGGGGGGAGGCAGAATGCTATGGCAAGTAGCCAGAGCAGCCTGCATGTAAGGCTCAGCACCACTCTTGCTCACGCTCTTCCCCTGGCTTAGCTGATGAACTTCTCAAAAAAAGATCTCGGCACATCCTTGTCCTCTGACAACCAGGCACACACTCAGAGAGGCCACATGCACATCTAGGACTGCGTCTACTGGCTGCTGGTTGGCATTACTTGCCGGCCGAAATCTGAGGAGGAAGGACCTGAAGCCGCCAGGGCCATTTTCTCCCATGAACTGGCCCAACTTCAATTCCCAATACTCATCAACTTGGTCTCACTTTTAAGCAACTCTATGAAAGTCTAGCACTTCAGCAAATGACTTTTGATGTTAACCGTTCAATTTCCAAGAACACACCATCCTATAATATGTAAAGCTATTCAATGTTCTTTTATTTTTTTGCAATACCAGAGATTTGAACTCAGGACCTTGTACTTGCCAGGCAAGCACTTATTCCACCAAGCTATCTCCCTGGCCCCTTCTATGTTCTAATTTTAGAAAAAACAAAATACCAAAATTAAATATTATGTACAATGAACATTAAATCCCTGGGTTTCCCTTTTTTTCACCCAATACAGCCAGAAATTCCACTGCCTAATCCAGATACAAATCTCTTTAATTGAAAACATGCTGGGAAAAATATCTACAAAGTGCACTTTTAATATGAATAGTTTAAAACATGCCTTCACAGCAATGCACACGCACTGAACCCCCACTCGGCACCACAGGAGGCGTGAAGCTGGCCCCTGGGGTAAGGGAGAAGGGCCGGCCAGAGCCCAGTCAACCTTCCCTCCCGGGAACAGGCAAGCTTCGCAGAACTGAAGGCTCAGGGACCTCAACCCCAAGGGAAGCGTGCCTTTGAAAGAAAGCGGCACCTCCTCGGTGCCCGGGAGTCCGCAGGAGCCCCAGGCACGCAGAAGGGGGTCAGCTGAGCGAGGGCGTGTGGTGCCCCGAGTCGGCCGCTCACCCCAAGTGCCGGCGCGACACACAGGGCTCCCTAGTCCTCGGCGACTGGGGGGGGGGGTCCTCAGCTGCTGTTCCCCAGCTTCAGCTCCCTGCTCGAAATCTGCCAAAGACTGCAACACCTGAGGGCGACTTCCGACACACGTCGGGATAGTGACTGCCAGAGGGTCGAAGAAGGACCTGGACTTTGCGGTCCTTTCAACTTTACAGGCAGAAGTTACCCAGGCCAAGACTTCGCAAAGCCAGTTAAATCAGAAAGTGGTCTAAAGCACCTACTTAGAACAAGCTAAGCTAAGCAAAGCACAGGGACTGCAGTTCAATCCCCCAGCACCACATGCCAGCCAGCCCCGC